TGACTTCTGAGATATGCATTTAGCTGGAGGTATGCATTTAGTTGAAAAACGAAAGGTGCATACTGAGATGCATTCTGAGACATGGATTTCGAGGTATAAATTCTGAAATATGCATAAAGAGAAACATTTTGCGCTATGCATTAGAGACATTAACCCCTATGGATGTTTGACAAGAGATGTATTCTGAGGTATTCATTTTGAGATACTCGATAGGAGCGAGGAGTTTTGAGAGATGCATTTTGAGGGAAAGATTTTCAGGGGTTACATTTTAAGATATGCATTCTGAGGTATGGATATTGCGACATGCATTCATTGTGTTGATGACCTTTGAAAGACTTTGATATTGAGACAAGAATTCTCAGTTATGAATTACAAGATGCAATCCATTGTATGCGTTTCTAAGATGTGCATTGTGTGCATTCTAAGAGTCCCACGCATTTCAAGATATGCATTGTGAAATCTTCACTCTGGGGCAAGCATTCCGATTTCCCCCTCTCCACTCACACCACCTCCTTTTATTACCCCCACTCCTCTCCTAACCCCCACTTCTCTCGTACCTCCCAATCCCCTCCTACCCCCACCCACTCCTATCGTGCCCTCACCCCTCTCAGGCATGAGCAACGAACGGGTCACATCGTTCCTTGCAAACGGTTGAGCAATGGCTCAACCCAACCAGGTCGATCCCACCCGACCAGACCCGGCTCTGAGGAAGGCCCAACTAGATCAGACCCCGGGTAAATGCCGAACCAAGCTCCAGGGCGAATCCTTGGCAAGCCGTGGTCAGATCACTCAAGACCTCAGGCTGAACCAACCCCGGTTGACCCGACCCGATCCAGCCTGAGCGAAACCAGGTCAAGTCGGGTCGGGTGGACTCTGCGCTCGCGCTCACTCTCATACCCCCCACTCCTATTGCACCCCACATTCCTCTTATATCGTCACTCCTGTCATGCCTCACGATTCTCATCAACCCCACTCGTCTCACACTCCCCCACTCCTCTCGAATACCCCAATCCGCTCACACCCCCCACTCCTCTTGAATACCCCACTCCGTTCATACCCCCCACTCATCTCATTCGCCCCCACTCCTATCATTTCCTCCATTTCCTACATATACCACTGTTCTCATTCCTGTGTTTCGTGCGCTCCTGTCATTTCCTCCATTGCCATTCGGAAACATCAGCGTTAAGCTTCTCCTCCTCAGACACTCCAACTCCCACTGTTTCTTCTGCTCCTTCCTAGCGGTTTTGCAGTTTTCATCCCACCCATGCCTTTTCACCCCACCCACGCCTTTTCACCCTACCCACGCCTTTTCCATCTGGCAGGCCAATTAGTGTGCTGCTCTCTGTGCTGTGGCTCGGTTTAGGGAGAGGAATGAGTGTAATGGTTGCAACATGTTTGTGCAATGCTTGCGTAGGTCGCTGTGAATTTGTGAAGTTGCAATATTTATCGTACTATGTGCTTTGCTTGATACGGTAGAAGTTTGTCAAGTGCGTTTGGTGAAGTGGCTGCTTTGGCACATCTCTTCGTCTGACTCCACTTCCCTCCCCTCCTCTCCTCCCCCCCCACCCCGCTTTCCTCCAGCACACACGGAGCTGGCCTCTGCCATGTCTACCATTCTGTTAGAGAGATTGATTTGATTATCTTGGGCAGAGGAAGCCCAACAGGATTGTTTCATGTCAGATGGAACCATGCCAGACACTGTATGTGTGCTGTGGAACTACCAGCACAAGGTCTTGTGTAGTGCAGCAGAGCTCGGTTCTCAGTGAATGAAGACAGTATACATAGTACATACCCTGTGTGGTACCATATAAGCATACCAGTGCACCATAGCCATAGACAACTGAAACCCCATGAACACGCGTGTATCTTTGTTCCACATTGTAATAAACTTGGCCTAAGATAGCTCCTTGGGACAGGAGGTGCATGAGGTGCATGGGACCACCTTGGAACACCACATACACAGGATTATATTTCCAAGCAATGGAGCTAACAATCAGCTGCTGCAACTTGAATGGAAGATGTTTGGTGCCGTGCCAAATGTTGACATGGTGTAGGCATGCATAGATAAGAACCGCCACTCTTGCGCAGCAGTGGCGGCAGCAGACTGTGCTCAGCAGAATCCACGCCTGCACAAATCGCCCTCTGCCAAGTGGCGAGATCTCGTCACGCGGCGGCAGCTCCTCGCTGTTGCGGAAGGCGAGAATGAAGGAGGATGAGAAGAGGCGGAGCACACTGCCGGAGACATTGCCTAATGCCAAGCGAGCAAGAGGCGGTGATGAGAGCGGTGCTCTTGGCCTTGCGTCACCCCACTAGGGCCTGCAGAGAGGGAGAAGTTATGGAAGGCAGGGCAGGAAGACAGCGCATGAGTCGAAGGGCAGGAGTGGGGGAAATGGGGATAGAGGGGAGGAAAAGCAGCAAACATGTGTGGACAAGGAAAGGTGGTGAGAGCTGCAGTGCACAGTGCACACCACAGCGTTCCGCCATGTTGCCTAGGTGGAAAGGTGTGGGGTATGTTAAGATCGCTTCTGAGAATTCAGAGAAGTGATTTCAACACAGCGCCCCGCCATGACGTAGCGGAAGAGACGGAAAGGTGTGGGGTTTCGGGAGGGGGAATAGAGGGAAGCATGGAGGAAAAAAACAATGAGGGAGGGATAACGATGGGCTGAAAGATCTGAGGTGAACGGGGAGGGCGAAACAGGGGAGAAAGGGTACGGAGCATGGGCAAGCAGGGTAGGCCGGGCAGAGGTGCATGTCATAAGCTCATAGCACCCCACCATGATGCACTGGAATTGCAAGGGCCCAGGGGTGTGTGGGTGGGGTGGGAGGGGGAATGGGGAGGAGGAGGACGAGGTCATGCGCACGGGCATACAAGGTAGAGTGGGAGTTGTGAGTGAGGTGGTGCGGTGGGCGGGAAGTGGGAGGTAGAAACAACGAGGGACGGAAGGAGGGAGGGAACGCGAGGTATGCGGGGAGAGGCGCATGGTGTAGCGGCTGCCATGATGCCGAATGCATCTTCTTGCCCCTGGTTCGTAGGTCGTGCCTCGGGCAAGTTCGGGAGTTGGGGCACATGCGGGGCAGCGGGGGCACGGCAGGCAGTGACCTGCCAAAGCTGTTTATCACCAACCATTGGAGTGAGGGCCATAGCCAATGCACGAGCATGATGGGGAGATGAAGGGGTGATGGGATGATGGGATGATGGGGTGATGGGATGATGCGTGAGCCAATGAGTTTAAGGGAGTGCCTCCTTCACATCGAAAGGGTCGACACAAGTGAGTGTCAATGGCAGTGGTGGTGAGGTGAGACAGGTGTTGAATGAGAGCACAGACCCGGTTCGGTAGAGGCAGGTTCGACACAAGGCACTACTGACCTCAGTGTTGAGATAAGCGATCATTCATCGAGTTGTGCGTGTACGCGCGGCAGGGGATGACGTTACTGGTTGAACTATGCACACTGGGTGGGTGATTGGGGGGGAGGGTGGCCAGAGGGAGAGAGAGCAGGGAGGTGGGTGCAGGATAGGCGGATTGGAGCACTGTGATGGGATGGGACGCTGCTGGCTGCACTGTTTGCACCTGGTGGGTGATTAGGGGGAAGGGGTGGCCAAAGATAGTTTGAGAGAGAGGGTATACTGGGGCATAGGCGGATTGGAGCAGTGTGATGTGCGCTGCTAGCTGCACTGTTTGCACCTGGTGGGTGATTAGGGGGAAGGGGTGGCCAAAGATAGTTTGAGAGAGAGGGTATACTGGGGCATAGGCGGATTGGAGCAGTGTGATGTGCGCTGCTAGCTGCACTGTTTGCACCTGGTGGGTGATTAGGGGGAAGGGGTGGCCAAAGATAGTTTGAGAGAGAGGGTATACTGGGGCATAGGCGGATTGGAGCAGTGTGATGTGCGCTGCTAGCTGCACTGTTTGCACCTGGTGGGTGATTAGGGGGAAGGGGTGGCCAAAGATAGTTTGAGAGAGAGGGTATACTGGGGCATAGGCGGATTGGAGCAGTGTGATGTGCGCTGCTAGCTGCACTGTTTGCACCTGGGGAAGGGGGAACGGCAATAGGGATGGGGATGGGCAAGGGGACGTTGAAAGGGAACGGGATCTTCGAGGGGATGAGAATGGGAAAGTGTAAGGGGAAGGAAATGGGGGGACAATGATGGACTATGCGGAACTTAAAACCCAAGACCCGAATGACACAACGAAGTCAACGGGGAAATTGTAGGTTCGGAAAACCCCAGAAGGAGGTTCGTTTGGAAAATCAAATACCAATCCCGTCAAAAACCAACTGAAATCTGGACCAATTGCATGTGACACTTTGCCACCCGACTCGGTAATTCTGGCCTGGGCCTTTTGGGGTGATTGGCCAAAAAGGGGCCAGTGGTATCAGCAGTGAGAGGGAAATGCACGAGAGGTAAAGGAGAGAGAGGCGGTGCGTGATGGGAGAGGGGGAGGAGTCGGATATTCTAGACTGCCACAGGGCATTCAGCCTTGCGGCATGCAGCACGTACGTGAGTTTTGGGCACTTTGAACTACAGCAGGTCATTCATTCAGCCAACAAACACTGCTGAACTACCTGAGAGTCACCTGAGAGTGGCCTGAGAGTGACCTCGGCGTGACCCGAGAGTGACCTGAGGGTGTCCTTAGGGTGTCCTGAATGAAAGAGACCTGCAAGTGACCGTGAGCCCACGTCCCTCTCACCACGCACCTCCTTCGCCCTTTGCTTGACCTTGAGGAAGAAAACTGCCACGAGGCCCCCAGCAGCCCCCCACAGCCTCCCCTCACCCGCTAGCTACTAGTGACTCACAAGAATCAACAGCTCAGCCCACTACCCCTCACCCACTGACAACGCACCTCCATCTCCCTCTTGCCATATTTGATCTACTCATGACTCACAAGTATCAAGCAGCCCAGCCCACAACCCCTCAGTCACCCACTCACGACGCACCTCCTTCTCCCTCTGCCCATCCCTCCTCAAACATGGCCACGGGGCATCAGCAGCCCAGCCCCACCCAGCTACGCCTGCAGCCTATCGCGCAACTCCGCCACGTCAGCAGCCTCTGCCTGGGTGAACTGATCAGTGCGCCCGCGCCTGTGCTGTTGATGGGGCAGAAGTCGGTGTGGGTGGGAGAAGCAGGTGCGGATCTGGGAGCGGAAGGGGGAGAAAGGGGGAAAGAGGTAACGGGAAGGGGGGAAAGAAGGGGTGTTGCCTTTGTGAGTAATGCGCGTGTGCGGTAGGGGCAGATGCGCGTGTGCGGTAGGGGCAGATGCGCGTGTGCGGTAGGGGCAGATGCGCGTGTGCGGTAGGGGTAGATGCGCCTGTGCGGTAGGGGCAGATGCGAGGGGGTTACACGTAGGATGCGAGGCTGGATGGATGGGATGGGGAGGGGGGGTCATGCGAATTGGGGCCGGGGCGGGAAGAAGGACTCAATAATTGGGATGCTGGGGGAGGTGGTTGAAGGGGGGATGGGGAAATGAGTCTCACCGTGGCTGCAACCACTTTCTCAACTCACCTCGCCAGCCCATCAGCTTCCGCCACTCACCCGCACAACCATCCGACAGCCACTCTCACCGCCACCAACTCCCAGCAATATCCACCTTTCCACCTGCTCCCACTCCACAACGATTCACCGTGGCCGTACATATTCACCTTGTCAACGGCACCCGGGCCCCATCCACCCGTCAGTAGAAACCCACTCATTCTCCACGGCCTCCGCCCGCCCCAGCAGCGCCCCCCCCCCCCCCCCCCCCTCCTCTCCTTACCCCGCCCACCTACTGCTCCTTTGCTCCCGCGTCACCCACACGTCACCCCCCCACACGCCTCTCCCCCAGCTCCCCCACCTCCCCCCCCCTCTCTCAAAACACCCCCCTTTCACACCACCCCCAACCCCCATTCAACCGCTCACACCCCCGTCAACCGCCTCACCCCCTTCAACCCCCCATCACCGCCCTTAAACCAGTCCCTGAGTTTCTCTCACACACAAGTCCACCCCACAGCGACCCTTCACCGACTCTCACCGTGCCGATATCCACCCCACAGCTTGTCAACGGCAACCCGCCCATCGCTGGTAACGCCAAACGAACCTCCATGGCCTCCCTCCGCCAACCCCATCAGCAGGCCGCCCTTCAACCTCCTCTTCACCGCCCCTCGCCCTCCTTCTTGCTCTCTCCGCCGCAGCAACTGCCACCGTCAATGCTGCTTGCGCTGCTTTCCCGCTCGTCGCGCCGCCTGCCGCAGCGCTTGCTACCTCCTCCGCTCCTTCTCCCTCTCCTTCTCGTTATCCCTCTCCTTCTCCTTCTCCTTGTCATCCATGCTTATACGATTATTTATTTTAGTATATTCTCGCTAACCTTCTTCTGTTGAGCCAATCTCGCCACAGAGTCGCTATCTCGCCACCACCGCATGACCGACCGGTTTCACGGAACCTGTGGCTTCGCTATCGGTCGCCGCCAAGCCGCCAATAGAATCAGAGCACTCACAGTCACCGCTGTCACTCGCACCATCTGCCGTCACTCGCACCATCCGCCGTCACTCGCACAAACTGCGTCCTTATTCTGCGGTTCCGTCGTCCCAGAGTCTCTTCTAAAGATGAGCTCAGAATTCGAATCCTCAAATTCAAACTAAGCTCGAAAATGTTGACGGGGACGACACTGCCTTTTCATTCGCTTATTCCGTTCGCTATTTCGTTCGTAATGATCAGCTGCAAATATACGCATACGCGATCAATAGAGATACAAATATGCACGACAGACACGTAACTATCCGTGAGGGGACTGTAGGCGGCTCAAAGCAGAGGTGGGTCGGGTCACACCACGACACTCCTATCGAGCATGTTACGGACAGCGGTGCTGACAGGCACCATCGAGTACGGAGGGCATTTGGGACTCGGGAGCGACTCATGCGCTCATAAGGCAGCAGAAGGACATGGACAGCGAATAAGAAACGAAATCGCCTTACCATCCCCGCTATATGCTACGCTAAAAGAAACTGTCATCGTCAGAATGTTGGGGAGTCTAGGTACTGTACTGACCATCTCGTGCTGAACAAGTAGCCCCACTTTCTTGCTTTCGTATTTTTTTTTTTTTTTTTTTGATATCGTATACATTACAGGAATGTACAGACACCGGCAGTCGTAACTGTCATAGGGAGGGGAGCGCTACAATAGCTAGTATCGCAGATCCCCTCTGAGGCATCTACGGTGGTTGATGCGTCATGCTGGGGTTGTCCCAGATTGAGCTGAAGCTGGTTCTCCACGTCAGCGGTGCACCGCTGCTGCAGATACGTCGCATCACCGTCGCCTCATCGGCCGCCAGGTGTGCCCAGTCCCCATCCAGTGTCTGCCCCCTCTTCCGTGCTGACACCTCGCGTGCCAAACAGTAAACTCTTGCATGCGCGACGAAATTTATCACCGCCAGCCGAGCCACCCTCCCAGCCTGAAACGTCTCGCTTCTCCACGCCGCGTTACACCTCGCCAGCCATACTTGATGCAGAACAGTTGCTATCCACGTCCCTTCCGGAAAACCTGACTTCGTGCTCCTTTGCATGAAGAGCAGATCTTCGAGATCCTGCCACGCTAGCCCCGGGTTCATTGCCACCAGCCCCCTCCTCAGCAGGTCCGTCAATGGCAACACTGTAGGACATCCAAGGAGGCAGCATGCCATAGGAAACATTGGCGATTTCCTATCGAGCATCCCCATAACGGATTTTCAACAGCCCGTCGTGGACTGGTCCTCCCCCCTCTCCCCTTCCCCCACCCCAAAGAGTTCCCCCACTTCCCCCGATTTCCAAGGACGTGGCACCTCTAGCCCTTTCGCAGAATCGATCGTGCAAAATCGAGCCTCCACCGTAGTGAAATCCCGCTTATATTATCTAGAACGTTTTGAACCGTTACTATGTAAAAAATCGACCTTGCGCAGGATCGATCCTGCAAAATGGCCAGAGGTGCCGCGTCCTGATGACTGTGCCTTGAGAATTGTAACTCTAGCAACCACTCACAGGTCGATGTACGGTTTTGCGAGGACCTGGGAGTGCTAGCTATGACGATCGTTGGCTCCAGGTACTGTATCTACGATGTTTGCCAGCCTCGCCGAAACCCCAGCATCGTGTGCCGTTGGCGCGACAGCGAATAAAGCGAGCGGGAGGCTTGCTGAGGAAACATCACGTTGCCGCTGATACTCATGCTCTATTTCAGCCTCTGCTCTGGTGGGTACCAGTATTGCTTTCTCGTCCGATCCATTAGTTTCAGAAGAGAGACGTCGGAGGGAACAATACTACTGCTATGAAGACTCCCACGCGCATCGACATTCTTCCTGACGAGATTCTTGTTAGGATCTTTTGGTTCTCCGAAGCCGCGTATGATGCTCGAAGAAATAATAATTACCATCTTTTTAGGGAGTCCGCGATGGCGCTGGCCGGACGCAATAGTAGTAACTATTCTCGAAACACTGACCTGAAAGAGCTTTATAACCCGACCATTTCCTCTAGGTTACCGATTCCTCTTACTTTTAGAAACACCGATCACAATTTTCTGATAGCGTCCACCTGCAGTAGATGGCGTCGGCTGACTAAGCTTCATGTATCCACGTTCGTCATGGTATCGTGGCGTGGTTCTCCCCAGAATCTCCAAAGTTCCATCACGTGCTTCCCAAATCTGTTGCATCTGCACCTCGGGAACGTGACGTCTTTGGACGATTCTCTTTTTGCTCACCTCTCCTGCAGTAAGCTGAAGTCGTTCCACTTACAGACTGTCAAATTATATGCATGATATATATGTTTAGGCTGTAGTGGGGTAGCCAATATGGGGTACAGCCCCGTTTAGGGTTTCATACTTGTACCCAACTCTTTCATAGTGCATCACTTCCTGCTTGTAGATTCTGACACAGACATACTCCATGCAGACGCAACTGATTGATCTTGGCCTAGACCATTCCTTCCGCCATTCCACACAACTGGAGAGTCTATCGCTGCTCTGTCTTCATGGAAAATACAGGCTTCCTTTATCCTTGTTCCAGCTGCCGCACTTACTAACGCTGATTGTGGACGATGATTCAGTCCTTAGGGTTCCAGAAAATTTGAACCTTACTTCTCTCACGGCGCTCTCGATTGACTCGCCGAGTGTGGATTTTGCGCTGCTATCAAGCATTGTTCATCTCACTAAGCTTCGCAACCTTTCTGTGCCTCGTCTCAGGGTGACGAGGCCTTTTGCTGCCTTCTCGTTCGCGCAGCTTCTTTCTCTGACTTCACTGAAAGCTGGAGTACTCGATGGTCAATTGCACCACCTCTTCTCATCTCCATGCAGTACACTAGAACACCCGCATCTCAATTTCGGTCATATGTTGAACGTTCCTGAGAATGCTGGAGAGTTGATGCCGGGCCTTAGAGAGCTGATGATCAACCGTTGCAGTCATGCTGATCGGCTCACTTCCCTGAGCTACCTACGGAGCCTGACACTCTCAAGTTGCATTGTTTCCATGCTACCTGACGACTTTTGAGAGTTGTGTGAACTGAGAAAGTTAACGCTGTTTAGGCTACCTCTTACCCATCTTCTTGCTTCCTTCAGCCAACTAACGTCCTTGGAGTCCCTTCTGCTGGTTGAATGCAGCGAGGTTACTGAGCTTTCACTAGGATTCGGCTCCCTGACGAATCTCAAGTCTCTGTGCATCGAGTGTTTGCCGCAACTGCTGCTCCCTGAAGACATTGGAGGCCTAGCTAGCTTGGAAACATTATTACTGGAAGAGGTTCATCAGAGGCTTCCGGCCTCATTCACGCAGCTGTCGTCACTGACCAGGCTTTACATCCTCGGGTGCAACATAACTGAGCTTCTTGACAGTATGGGGTGTTGGAAACAAGTGATCTAAGCGCTTCTGTCGCGTCGAAACACTAAGTCGTAAACAAAGCGAAGCACAAACGAAGCATCGGCGAGTCAACCATCGGAGGTTGAAGAAGAAAAGTAACTGACTTTTGACCTGACAAATACAGCGCGACAGCAAGGACAAACAACTGACTCGTTATTGAGCAGTCGTCCGAGTCGTCACTGTATCGAACCGCAACAGCAACAGTAAAACGGTTACCAGCTGTATCTCTTCGTATTCCTTGTACTCTTATAAAACCTTTGTATCTCCTTGTTGAATCAATCTACTTTGCCCTCACATACCAGCGCAAGGTGGTTCAATACTTTCATCAAAACGCTTCCGCAACTACAACATTCCTACTCTGAGTTTAGCCTTGTAAAGATCCTAAGGGCTTTTCTCAGCCCAACATGGTATGAAAGCAACTGCTTCCAAGTCACCTACAACATCAGAAGGCATGGCAACGCAGGAGGAGAGAAGCTCCTCTAACGGTTCTCCCGGCACTGCTCCTACTCCACCTCCTGCCTCTGGCCTACAGACAGAGGGGGGCACAGCAACAAGACCAGCAGCTGAGTCTACTGAAACTCCCGCGAACCAAGCGACGGGCTTCGACCCAAGCATGATGGAGAAATTCTTCTCCTTCATGTCGTTCTACGAACAACACCAGCAAGCGGCACATGCGCAGTCAAACATCAGCAACAACAACAACGACGTTACAACCATGAGCCTCGACGGTTTATCCTATGTGTGCGGAAACCAGCAGCAACCCACCTTTGCTCCGTACGAGCCTCAGCGTGGATCCATCAGCTTCATGCCGCGTCAACAGCCTTCACCTGAACAAGAAAAGACATTGGACGCACTTCAGGTTCAATCTCAATTTGCGCACGTTTTGAAACTTCAGACATCAACACCTTTCGACGGAAAGGACTTCTATACCTGGTCATTCGAATTTGAGCTGATGATGGAAGGCGCTATCAGAAACAGTAGCAGAAAGATAGAACACGAAAGAGGGGTTTGCACTAGCAGCAGTTGAGATACATATAAGAAACCCTAATTGGGTTGTACTCGCTATAGAGTGCCCCACTGCAGGCTAGACAAATACAACATTCTGACACACCCCCATAGCCAAAGTGGGGTGTAATCAGCACAACAAGCATGCAAAGCAGTAGTTCACAATGATAAGCAAAGCTAGAGGCAATCACAGAGAGCAAGTGAGGAGGAGGAGGGACTATGAGAGGAGA